CAACTTTGGATAAAACTGAGACCTCTGGAAGATGCTGCCAGCCTGCAGATGGGCACTTTGGGAAGGCTTCTCTCTGCACCATGTGTTTGTGCAGGGACCTGATTTCCAGCTGGCAGGACAGGCATCCTGACAGCAGGCTGGTGGCTGGGCAGGGTTCAGGCTGTCTCACACCTTTCAACCATCCCTTCCATCCTGGAAGGGGGAAACCTTCCCAGAGACTGTGTGACGCCTTCTCAGGAAGCAGTCCAAGTCCCTGTTGGCTGTGTCCCCTTGGCCAGGCTGCAGGAGGAGACCTGAGCATGGTCCCTGATTGCTTTTGGCAGGGTGCAGGGAGCATGCTGCTCTCTCCCAGCACTTAGCAGCTTCCCTGGGAACCACGCAGGAAAGGAGGAGAGGAGCCCAGACTTGTGGGAGACACTTTTCATTTCATGCCTAAGCCACTACTCCGCTGCTCAGCCACATGGCTCCATTAAGTCCCTTTCTGGCTGTCTTCTTTCCATCAATCACTCCGTCTCCACAAGCAGCCCAGACACCGGATCTGGGTTATAAATAAGACAATCAATCAGCGATGCTATTAGATAAACAGAGTGGCAGAAGCCAAATTAATGCTTGGCTTTTTCTTGAAAGGGAGGAAAAAAAGAGTCAATTGCTTATTAGAGGACCCTGGTGTGGTCTGGTCTCCACGCTGCAGCTGAGCTGGGTGGGCTGTGCTTGGCTGCCGTGTCTGCGTGTAGGGAGGTTTGGGATGCTGTGAGCACATAATCCATGTGGGTCACCCTGCCCAGATCAGGGAGGGGCCTGGGGCAGACTGGAGGTGAGCAGGGAGGTTGTAGCACTGGGGCAGTGATGGGAGATGGGAAAACAGTGATGGGAGCTCCCCAGCTGGGCAGTGAGGAGGTTTCAGGGTGGGTCTAGTGGGGAGGGAGGGGATGAGGCTGCAGGCAGAAATGTGTGGGGACCAGCAACACAATGCCAGGACAGACATTGAGCCAGTTAGGATGGACACAAGGAAGAAAATAATCACTGCTTGGAGGCTTTTCAAACAACAGGCAGTTTCTTCTGGAGGTGAATCAAGTCGTTGTCTGGAGCCACCAACAAATAAGATGGTCCAAGACTGTCATTTGTGGTTTGCTGTGACGATCTGTTACCTCTTGTTGCTACAAACCTCTAGCCTACAGCATTGTGAGGGTGCCCAAGGCTGTTTTTACCTCCAAGGTCTGCACCTGCAGCTCCATCTGCTTCTCTGTGTGGTGGTGGCTAATTAACTCAAAGCTCCCGGGCTCATTCCTGCACCAAAGGTGTCAGAGAAGAGGCTTTCCTCATGGTGGGATCTTGTTGCCTGAGCTACCCCTCCTGGGAAAGAAAGCCCTAGGAGGAAGGCTATAATCTGCCAGAGGCATCTAGTGTACAGGAGACATAAGCTCTGTACAGGAGACATCAGCTTCTTCTGAATGAATACCCTGTGCTTTGGGCTGGGCTCTTGTATTTGCTGGACTTGACACTACTGCAAGTTGAGGACTGGGAGAATCTGGGCTTCTCCAAGTCAAGCTAACTCTGTTTACAGTCTCATCCCTCACAGATGCTGCTCTTTATGCTTTCATCCCAGGGACTGCCTTTCCACCAGCTCCTGCTGCTTTCACCTCACCTGACACTTCTCCCATTTGTTGTGAAGGAGGAGGGTACCTGCCCCTGGAGGACCAGATCTTCCACTGTGCAAATATGCAGCAGCTCTCCTCTGCCAACTGGCTCAAAAGATCCCACCTGGAATTTCCACCCAGCCCAGCAAGCTCTCAGCTCGGTTCTGGCAATGCAGCTATGGGTGTGCTTTCTCAACAGCTGAGCCTGCTTTCATTCCCCATTCTCACCTGTGACTGTGCCAGACTGCAGCTCTGCCAGAGCTGAAACGCACAACACAGTACCCACTGCTCCTCCTTCCTCCACCCCATCACAGGCTGCACAACACATTCCTGTCAGCCTGATTTGGGATAAATAGACTGGTTTTTGTCCCCTGGCAGATCCAGGCTGTGGATGAGAGGCTGGTGTGGGAGGAGGCAGATTTTCTGACTGTTGGGTCAGGGAGAATGAGGTCTCTGCTAGCACCCGCTTAAGGGAAGGATGCAGGAGATGCATTCAGTCCCATTCCACTGTTCAGCTCCTTGCTCAAGCATGGGGAGTTCCTGCTTCCTCCAAGGCTTCAAGTCCAGGAAATAGCTCCTACTTTCCAGTCACACTTCTGATCCCTCTTGCAGAGCTTGGGGAGCTCCGTGCAAGGCTGCTCTCACATCAGCAATAGCCCAAAAACAGCACCTAAGGTGGGATTTACTGCCACATATGTGCTGGGAAGATGCAGGGACCCATTGCACCCGGGTGGTGTATTGGATTTCAGGTTATGTGATGCACAGGTTTCTCTGAGCATTGTAATTCCCTCTTTCTTCCTGTATGGATTTATACTGCTAAGTGGATGGATTTTCTGCTTGGCAGGGATGCTCCCCTGGGACCTTCCCCAGTTTGAAACATCTCTGCACATCTGTACATAATATTGCTGGGGCACTTAATGAGTGGGCTTTTACGACACCCCTTGCTTTATAGACTGCTGCTTAACGTGGCCAGGAACCACGGAAGGGCTGACAAACAGCATCCCAGAGCTGGCAGAAAGCCAAGTACCAACTCCAGGTGCTGGATGATGCCTGGGGCTCTGCGTGAAAGCCACTGCTCTCAGATGGCTTCTCACACAGCTGCCCTGAGCAGTGGAAGCACCACTCCCTTGGTCCCTGAAACAGCTTGAGAGGGACAGATTTCTTTTGCTTAATAACCTGAGGCAGCATGCCTCTGGACCAGCTATGTAAATCCTGGGAGGAGATGAAGGTGATCTGTCTGTCTGGGATGATTCCCCCTAGCAAGGGCTGGGCCTGACATTTTCATCTCTGCTAAGAGCTGTCCCTTCCCCCTGCCCCAAAGAGCCATCTGCTATGGTAGATTACCCCAGCTTTTAGCACTGTGAATCCATAATTAGTGCATAATTAATTACCAGATGTTTTTAACACTAATGAAACATTAATAAATGACGGAGGCATGTTGTCTGGTAATGGAACATTAACCAGTGAACCAAGTCAGCGCTGCCGCCAGCATGGCCAAGCCAGAGACAGGTCTGCCTCTGACGGAGCTCTTCCCTAAATAGAGCTCCAACATTGTTCAAATCACAGAAAGTGCCTGGTGGGAGCAAGTGACCAGCTTGGTGCTGCCTTCAGGCTTTGCTTTGTGGCTCCTTCACCTCTCTCTTTCCTTCCTTCCTTCCTTCCACCCACTCACTCATCCATCCACCCCATTCATGTGTCCATCCAGCCAGCCAGCCAGCCACACACACATCTCCCTGCTGTAGAGACTTAGTTGGGGCACCAGAGAGGTAATTTTCTAAAAAGTGAAGCACCAGAGAGGGGCACAGAGAGGTGCACCAGAGAGGCAATTTTCTACCTCTTAGTTGGGGCACCAGAGAGGTAATTTTCTAAAAAGTGGAGCTTTTCCCCCTGGGCATTGCTTGATGGCACCCCTGCTCCAGGGGGTGCTCCCAAGAAAGGCACATGGGGAAAGGACAGACTCCAGCAATGTACTTGGCTGCATCCATTGCCCCCACACTGGATCCCTGTGAGCTCTGCCCTGACAGAAATTTAATTCAGAGCATTTGGGCCAGTGACATTTTCCTAACATGAAATTATTAATCAGACATGGGAAGTGCATTAGTTGTGACTACATGCCACCTCCAGGCTACAGTGAGGCTCAGGCAGGTCTCCATCCTCCTGCCTGCCCGAGAGATGTCAGGGTGCAGCCAGAGCTTGGGGACACAGGGGACCCTCCAGAGCTCATGAGTGGGGAGATGTGGCATTTCCCCATCACAGCAGAGGTGTCATATGGGGTGGTGACAACCATCTCCTTTCCCTCACCAGGAGTCTCCAGGCTGAGCACCTTCTCAGCATGTCCTGAAGGGCAGCTTTTGGGTCTCCCACCCCTCTGGGAGGATGGTGCTATGGTCTCAAACACCAGAGCAGGCTCCAGGGTGTGTGTGTGTGTCCACTCAATGCTGCTCCCATGTCTTCCCCAACTCACCCAGCACCAGGCATGGAAGAAGGCAGCCAAAACCCCCCTCCCCAGATGGAAGGGAAATGACACCCAGAGCCACCAGTCATCATGAAATGAACATTTAATGAAGACAGTCTCTCCTGGTGTGTGTGTGTGTGTCTGTGTGCGTGTGTGCGTGTGCGTTGTCTCTGTGAGCTTAGTTTTATCCCCTCTATTACTTTTTTTTTGATTATTTTTCTTTTTTTTTATATATATACATCTATAAAAAATTCAAATACAGCATGTCAACAGTGGGAATACTAGGACGTATGGTATTAAATACTGCGCTTGGGTCCAGGCAGGGCCAAGAGGAGGTGTCTTTACAAAACAGGACTTCGGGCAGGATGGGGAGGAGAGGAGAGCAGAGCAGGCATGGGGACAGCCAGGGACAGCGGGGGACAGCGGGGCACAGGTCTGCAGGGCTCCAGCTCTAAAGGCAACAGCAGAGCTATTCTGCTTTTGTTGGAGTATGAGACAAAGACATCAATGGGGGTGATTCCCTGTATCCAACACGGTTAAAAGTTTGGGGGTGATGTTGGGTCGGGTTTGGGGGTGGCGAAGGCTCCTGCAGGGTGCTGTGGAGGGGGAGGTGGAGGGACAGCTCTCCCAGGTGCTCAGCAAGGGGCAGGGGGGTTTTTACCGGTGTTTCACTGCCTTTTTTTTTTTTTTTTAATCCCATTAAAACCCCGCCAGCTCCCTGCTCCCCATCGCACTTGTGAAAGCCACCAGCTCCCCCCTCCACCACCCCCTCGGAGGGACCCCCCCCCCGCCGCCCCCGATCCGTGCGCCCCTCCAGCTTCGCCACGTGGTCGAGAGCTCAGGGGAGCGAGTCCAGTCCTTGGGGGACCCCCTTTTGCCATAAGGGGGTACAACAGCTTGGAGCATCATTCCCCTCACCACCCCCCCGTTTTCATATCCCCTTTTCTCGGTGCGCGGCCGCGGGGGCGGCGGGCACGTCTTTGGCGTGGGGGGGTTTAGCTGTATGAGCGGGACCCTCGGCTCGCTCCCCTCGGCTGAGGAAAGGGGCACGGACGTGCGTCTGTCTCCTCGCTGCGGGCCCGGAGAGGGATTTTGCGGCTCTCCAGGGGGACGGCGGCAGCTCTGTCCTCCTCCGAAGTGGCGGCGAGAAGCGTGGTACGTCCTCAATGTGTGCAAAATCGAAGAGCGAAGAGACTCAACCCGGGAGCGGGGCGGCGGGGCGGGGGCGGCGGTGGGCGGCGGGGAGGCGGCTGCGCTGGGCGGCGGTGGATGGACAGATGGAGATCTGCAAGCAGGGAGAAGAAGGGTCACGGTGTCGCTCCGAACTCAGCTCTGCTCAGCCATCGGTGGGACACACCCAGCAGAATTTCCTTTTTTCCGGCCTTTTTCCGCAGGAGAAACTCACTCAGGTACCCAAATTTCCACCTCCTCCTCCCAGGGCTGGGCCCTGCCCACCCTCCCCTGGCTGCATGCCACCACCCCTCCTGGTGTCACACACGAGATGACACTGTCAGAGGGGAGCAAAGAACCCCCTGCCCACGAGGATCTTATCTCTGGGCACCAAAGGAGGGGTGGCTTATCCTTTATCTCCTAAAAGTGACATATGTGGGTGCTTCCAGGATCCATCCCTGTCCTTGGGTAATATAGGGACAGAGAAAGGGCATTTGGGTGTGACATCCATGAGAGAGCAGCCCTGGTCTGTAGAGCAGAGGGGCTTTCATGTGGCTCTCCAGGCTGCCAGCTCCATCCTAAGCCAAATTAGGGACATTTTTGAGATGCAATCTGAATTTTTTGATCGCAGACAATTTTTCTTTCATCATTAAGCAAAGGCCTTAGATTTCCATGTGGCTTCTTTGCCTCTTAAAAACGTCAGCAGAGAGGATGGGAGAGGGCTGCTGAAAACAAGACATCAAAGACTGACCACTTTGCCAGCTTTGCTTGAAAAGCCATTTTTGAGACCTCCAGCCGAATATCCATCTGGAAAAGCAGTCAGACTTGGTACATTTACAGAACTGCAAGAAAAACCCAAATGACTTGTTCCCAATGCCCTTCACCCACAGTCTGGCCAGAGCATCCCCTTCCCACCCACATTAGAGCCCTGAAGGTCCCCATATCCCTGCCCCATCCCAGCACCCACCTCCTGCCTCTTATGCCTCAGACTTGGGAGATACTCACTAAATAAAGAGGACACTATAGGCAGCCACGACCAGTCCAGCTGTCCAACACACTGCCATGGCCCCGCTGCCCACCATGGCCCCCTTGTCACAGATCTTGGTTGTGGGTGGTGCCATGAAAGAGGAGGTGCTAGCACTTGTTGTCTCTGCAAAAAAGAAGAGTGGGTGGTGAGGAGGGCTGGGATGCCCTGGGATTCATCCCATAGGAGCAGCCCTGCTAGGCTGCTGGCGTGGAGTGGACCCGGCTCCAAATTGCCCTTTTCAGTGCTATACCACACTAGGGCTGAGATGATTCAAGGGATGGTGTGATCCATGAGACCTCCCTGGCTGTGATGGTGCACCTACTGCTTGGAGATGTTTCTGCCATCAGGCAGAGTTGGGCATCCTTCTCATCCCCATCCTGATCAGCTGAGCCACTCTATGCACCAGGTCTGTGGGAATCTTAGCTAGGAAGCCACAATGAGCCTCTAGTGCTCAGCTGAGAGCATCCCTCGCCCACAGAACACGCTACACACAGCAGTCTGCATCTGCTGGGCTGGCTCACAAGGTTTGTCCTGCTTTGTCCTGAACCAGATGGATTGTCTGTGCCTGCAGAGGGCTGCAGGATTGCAGGGAGTGCTTGGATGAGCAGTCAGGCAGGGGCAGCTTTGGCTACATCCAGATGGCCCCAGCATGTCCAGGCCAGACCGTCTGGGTTGATGCTGGGGACCACAGAGTTTGTCTCAGCATCTTTCAGACTCCACAGAGGCGTCACAGTGGGGCTCAGCTTTGGAGTTGGGGTGTCCCTCATCAGCCCTGCCTGTCTGCACCAGGCACACAGGGATGTGTGTGTGAGGGATGCAGATGTGCCTGCACAGGGCAGGTGACACTGACAGGGGCATTTGTATTTAGCACAACGTGCGTGGGAATGGAAGCAAAACCAAAACGCTGACAGTAGCACTGCTGCAAAGTGCTCCTGCACTCCTTGTGGGGGCTTATCCACCTTGGAATGGTGGGCAGGGCTGCAAATCCCTGCTGCTGCCTGAATATCCAGGTGCTCTACCAGGTGCTGTTTTAAAAAGGGGGGGTTTCTCTGCACAGGAGCCAAGGAAACCAGCGCAGGGTCTGCTCCATCCTTTCTGGGAAATGGAGGGCTGATAACACCCATTTGGACACAGTCCCAGCTCTTTCCTAGAAACAGACTTGGTGTTAACTTGGTGGCTTTTATTTTGAATTGGCATCCCTTTGAGCCAGTGTGAGGGGTCAGGGGAGTGGAGGGGGTAGGACTGCAGAGGGGGGGAAGGCTGGAGGGAGACAGCACTCCAGGGAACAACAACAACCACCCACAACCACAACAGCCACAACCACAACCACAACAACAACAACAACAACAACAACAACAACAACAACAACAACACTAATACAGTGGCCAGCCTCATTGTCCTGCCCCAAGTATCCTGGTGAGAAGGATGCTGGATCCTGATGAGCTGAGTCAGCATCCTTCAGGCCATGGTTGCACCTACTGACAGGGCCACAGGAGGGGGCAAAGTGCAGCGTGAAGGGCTGCAGCTCCACGAGGTTTTTGGGGCTATCCTTGGCTGTGTGCAAGATTTGCACGGAGCCAAAGAGGAGATCCCTCGGCCCGGAGTCCTGTGTTCCTCCTGCATGAAGCCTGTTTGCACTGGGAGGAGGCTCTTACCTGTGATCTGGGCCTCCGTGGTGAGATGCTTGGGCTCCTCTGTCCAGGGGGTGGCATGAACGGCCACGCTCCAGTCACTCCACGTGCCGATGTCGTTGTCTTTGGCTGCCACCTGGATGATGTATTCCTTGCCAGCGTAAGCGTCCGTGATGGTGTGCGATGTCCCATCCGACAGCTCGACCTGAGGGCAGCAGCAGGGAGAGGAGGGGAGTCAGAGGGGTCCCCGGGAGGTGTAAGGCAATTTAGCTCGGCTAAAAGATCATAACAAGGCTTTTGCAGCACTTTTGGAAATACTGAGGCGTTGTGGGCAGAGGCACAAGCCCAGGACAGGGAGGGAAGTTGAGAGAGATGCTCCAGCTGCAGCTCCACTAAGGGTTTAAAGACCTGGTTCCACTCCCAAACTCACGGCGTCAGAGTGGAGCAGCTTCCTCTAGAGGTCACCAGAAACTAGCAGATGTGCGTGCGGGCTCCCTCGGACACGCCAGGGCGGAGCTGGGAGTTGGGTATTGCAGGCAGTGGCTGGGACGTGCAGCGCGCTTTCAGGGCGCCGCTGCCAGTGCCGGGAGGAGGCTCCCCCACCAGCAGCACCTCTGGCCAGCCTGCTCCCGTGCCTGCTGGCATCCCGGCGTTTTGGCTTGCATCTCTCCAGCTGGGCCCTTGGACAAGCATCAAGTCATGATAGATGGTTTCTTCCTAGAAACCATTCCCTCTGCCTCTGCTGTCTGAGCTGTAGAAGACCCTGCTGTCCTTTGTGCTGCAAAGTGCAATGGTTTAACCCCATTTAACCTTCCAAGGGATCTCTGATCCATTTGGAGCTTGGCTCCAGGACAGAGGGATGCAGGTGCTCAGCAGAAATGCGCCCTGATGGCACTGACCCCAGTGAGCAAAAACACGTGCCTGACAGAGGGGGAGGGCTCAGCATCCAAGGGACCAGGGCAGGAGTATCCGGAGAGGCTGAGTGGGATATTGCCCTCCAGCCCACCTCTGAGACTGAGGGCCAACATGCTGCCCACTCGAGTACCCTCCTGTGCTGCTGCTGTGCATGGTTTGGGGGGCACACAGGGCATCCCCTGCCCAGACACATTCCTAATAAAAATGCTGCAGGATGAGGGGTGGATTGGGGCCCAGCTGTGAGCACCAGTGCCCAGCTAGGGGCTCCAGCAGGGGAAGCATCACATCATGGGTGGGGGCAGCTCCATGGTGCTACACGTGTGGGGTTCTCCACATGTCCCCAGCCAGCCAGGAGAAGGTCAGGCACAGAATCACACTGTCCTGGGGAGCACCAACAGCTCAATGACAGGAGGAAGATCCAAACTTTTGCTTGGTCAGGAAGAGAGGAGGGGAGGATGTGAGGGCTGCACCACTGGGGTGCTCAGGAGGTACCTGGGCCAATGCACCTGTGGGATGAGGCTGCCCTGGCAGTGTGGCTGTACACACACAAGGGATGTGTGCACGCCAGATGGGCAGTGCCATCACCCCACAGCTTGCAGGGGTACCTTAAAAGCAGGAACCCACCCTGAGAAAGAACCAGCCCTTTTCCAGTGCCTTCTGTGCAGCACATGTGACAGCTCAGCACAGATGCAATCCCTTTGGCATGAAAGCTGCAGCCCCCTCCAGGCTTTTACTGTCACTCTGGGGCATTCCTAACAGGAGGAGGGGCATTTTTACTTTCTTGCTCCAAGTGAAAGCCTTTCCTTTCCTATTCCCACTTCCAACCTTCTGCCCAGGACATAGATCCCTTGGGTTCTGCACTCCCAGCTGCTCCTGCCACCTGACCTGAGCCCCACATCTGGAGCACATCTGGATGCAGGCCTGGCTGGTCTCCCCCACAGCCACTGGGAGCCCAGGCACCTCGGGGTGGGTAGGCAGGAGACCCACCAGGTTGTGAATCATCTGATCTGCTAGGCAGGGCACCTCCCTGCAGTGTAGTGGCACAGTGAGGCTTTCTGTGCCACCCTGACCTTGGGAGCTCTTTGGTGGCACCCACCAGTGTGGATGGCAACGCCAAGGGAATCAAGTTAAATTAATTCCTAATGATAATTAAATGAAATGAAACCTCACAGAGTGAGCTGCCAACACCCTGCTGACTTGACTTGCTCTGTGCTGGGGTATGGCTTGGAATTGGAGAATGGGGTCAGGGCTCTGAGAGACGCTGGGATTATCCAGCTGGTGTATGACTCTGTCCAAGACTTCCAGCATGCTCTGAACCCCTGGCTCCTCCCTGGGACCTGCACCAAGCAGGCTGCAGTCAGGCCAGCCCTACTAAGGTCCTGATGACCTGCCCAGGCTGCTTTCCCATCAGGAGCATTTTCCCCCATCCCAAAGTCCCTCTCAGCTTTCCCTTGGGAGCAATTCCTGCCTCTTCCCACCCACAACCAACCAGCAGCTGAGTGTTTGTAGGTGGGCTGTCACAGGCACAATGGGGTTAAATCTGTGCCTTGCCTGGGCAGGGGGAGGGTCCCCCCAGGACCCAGACCTTCCTTGTAGGACCTGGGAGGATGTTGCCCTAAGCTCTGCTTTGCACAGCAGTTAAAAAGAGAAAGCAGGGATGGTATCATCCATCTCTGCCCACACAAACAACCTCTGGATGCAGAACTTCTGAGCCGGGCAGCCATGGATACATCCAGCATTTTATCATGGTGGGGAGAAAGCCACCGCGTGGGTGCTCATGACCCAACACAGAAATGCCACCATAAATGGGAAAGCATAGGGAGAGACAGAACTGGGGGAAGACACACCAAGGAGGCTGTGGGGGACGGGTGGGCACACAGCATCAAAGGCAGAGGGAGAAATTCCTTAATCCATGTCCTCGCCACACAGAGACAAAAGTTGGAGGAAGGCTGTGCATGGTAATTTTTTTGGCCGGGGTGGGGGTTTGTGTGTCGCTGCCTGCCTTTGTGCACCTGCCAAAAGTCACTCTGACTGGCTGTGAAGTGCTGCCCAGATTAATGAGGGATCAGTAGCCAGTGCAATGCAGAGCTATTAGCATTGCAAAAAAAAAAAAAAAAAAGAAAAAGAAAAAAAAAGAAAAGAAAAATAAAAGAGAGAGAGAGGAGGGAAAAAGAGAGGAGAGAGAAATGAAAAAAAGCCCTTGAACCCAAGTAATTCAGATGACAGCTTGCTGAGGACAACGTGGGCTGGGGTCCCATTCCCTGCCATGGTCACATACCCCCACATTCCTTCCTGGAAAGATTACAGATTACTGCTGCGTGCCCACCCACAGCCCCAAGTGCCAGAATGAGCACAAGGGCCAGCGCCACATTGATGGGATGGAGACAGACTCTTAGGGAGAACTGCCTGCCACTTGGCTTTCCCCCTGTCCATGCTGTCCACACTCCATCACCCATGCCTGCCCTCCTTCCAGTCCCTGCCTGCAGACTGCTGTCCCTGTCTCAGTGCTCAGCACAGCAGGAGTGAGGGAAGCCATTATCCCCTCTGAGCTCCCCTCATCCTGCTCCCAAGGCCCCCAGCCCACCCTGCCAGGCTGCCCTGGCAGTAAAAAAGAGCAATGTGCTTTGTTCCCACCCAGGCTCTGCTCCTGGTGCAGGGTGACCAGGTGGCAATTACTGGTGAACAGGTTGATGCATGGGCAGGTCTGAAGCCCAGATGGCCTTTGGAAGGGGATGGGGAAGGGAGGCAGGGAAGAAAACCCCACCCTCCTCTGCCCTGACAGGTGGGCTGGGGGCTGGTGTGCATTAAAAGGAGGTGCAGGGGGAGAAGGGGGGATCAGATGCCTCCTTTTCTGCATCCCACGTGAAGATGCATTTGCTGGCTCCCCTGTGGTGGCAGTGGCTCTGTTTTCCATTCCTTGACAGCTCCTGCTGTCCAGTGCAGCTCCTAGAGTGGGAAGGGAGTGCTCCACTGGCAGTACGGGGATGAGGACTGGCACCCCTCTGTCCCAAGGCAGGGAGGCACTGTCTCTGTGTGTGTGACACCTGTCCCAGGTGCTGTATCAAGCCTAGATGAGTCTGCCTTCCCCAAAATAAAAGGAGCACCCTCCCTGGCTATTGTAAGGTGAAGCTGGTGTGCTCACACAGCCTTTGCTACCCACAGCACTCGTGGGAAGAATGGGAAGAAACCCCTTCCAAGAGCACAACCTGGAACTGCCAAACATCTGGCATCCTTGCAACTCCTCCTCTGGATGCTACTGAGTTTACTGGATGATGGGGGAAATTGGAACTGGGATAGGGATGGGACACACAGTGAGCTCTATTTCACAGACACTCTATTTCCCTCCAGCAATGGCCAAATCCTGCCACTGGGCTGCAATGAGCTTTGCAGGGACTCAGCCACACAAACAACTGATGTTTCAGGTGCCTTCAGGCCCTGCAAGTGCAGGGGGATCCCAGCAGGAATTCCACCTGTCCTGGGGAACAAGATAAAGCAAAAGCAGGAGCAACCTCCAAACAAACTGCCCTGCCACTGGGAAGTTCAGGAAGGTCACTGCAAATGGACAGTGCAGCTTGAGAAAAGATGTCATCACGTGGAAAAGAAATGTTTTGCTTTTTCCCTTTGAAAGACGTGCCTGGAGAGCAAATATGAATGACAGTGATCACTAACAAAGGTACCCCCAGATACCTCCTCCTTCTGCAGAGCTGCAAGAATCAGTCAGTATAACCCCAGACAAAACTTCCTACCTAGACTCTGGGATAATTGAAGGTTGGGAAAAATGAATGACTTCTTATTCTCTGCCAGCCATGTAATGGAAGAGCCACTTTATCAGGGTCTGAGCTGTGCTCTCTGCTGTCAGCCCCTCCTGGAAAGGCTGCTGTGGTGCTGCACAGAGCCCAGGCCTGCTGTTTTGGAGGGTCTTGGAGAATGAGCTATCACAGGGCTCCTCTGCAGCCTGGGCTGTGCCACACCAGATGCAGCTGAACGGATCCCTTCTGGCTCAAAATAAAGACCATCTTTGAAAGTGGGGGCTGTTGTAGGAAAACAAGCTAAGAGGAAGCTTTCTCCAGATGTGCTGGCCCTGTCCTGCCAAGTGACAACTGTCAGAAGTCACTTTTGCTTGTGGCTCTGGGGAAGATGGGATCAGGATTGCTGGGGGCACTCAGCAACAGCTCTAACCTGGCTGGCACTGGCGTATGCTGCCTGCAGATGCCTCCACCATGCTGATATGGCTGAAAGCAGCTTGTGCATGGGCATGGCAGAGCACAGACACCTGCCCAGTGTGCTCTG